TTTATCCTTGAGACTGCAAGCCCAGAAGATATTTCTTCCATATTCTTGGAATCTTGAAGTTTCTGAAATTCCTTGGTTCTGATAGAAGTGATGACTTCTTCCAAAGTAATCACTTGATCTTTCCCATACAATAAAGCATCTCTGAAATGCTCAAAAAGTTTTAGGCAAAGCATTTAGAACAATCACAGCTTTATCTTCATCTTCAAGTTTTACCCCGATGTTCTCAAGATCATCAATGATCTTGTTAAAATCAGAAATTTGTTCTTCAATGGATCTTGACTCCATCATCTTGAACGAGTAAAGTTGTTGTTTCAAGCACAATCTATGAGCTAATGATCTAGTCATGTATAATGACTCCAATCTTGCCCATATGCCTGCTGCACTTCTTTCCTTGGCAACCTCTCTGAGAGCCTTGTCACCCAAACATAAGATAATGGCACTTCTGACCTTATCAATCATGTTCTTCTACTCCGCTTGTGATAAGACTGATGACATACTTTCTTCACCCTTCAAGGCTTCATCACAACCTTGCTGAATCAAGATAGCTTCCATCTTAATCTTCCATAACCCAAAATCATTTGATCCATTGAACTTCTCAATATCAAATTTTGCTGCCATTGTTTCTAGATGAAGAAAACAGTCTTGCCTTGTTTATTCCCACAGACGGCGCCACTTGTTGGTTCAAACAAGTATAAACAAGATATACAAAGCAGAGAGAACAAAAAGGAAACAGAATAATGTCTAGTAATTCTGTTCACAACAACCTACAACTTACATAATTCACATTACAGTAAAATAACAAAAGAAAATAACCCTCCATAACTGTTGAGCAGTTATGCACAGATATGCACAAAAAGAAAATAAAACTGTAATGAAGAGTCAACTACAACACAAGCCCTTGTGCTGCTCCAAGTGCTATTTTTAGACGCAGATGGAGCAGCCTATGGTTGGTAGGTTGGTTGAGTGGCATGTAATTACAAGTTTGAAGCCTGTTAAAAAACGTAGGTAGTGTTAATGAAGTCCGAGACTTGTACCTAGTCTTAAACGCACACAATCCCCCACCATTTGTGGAGTCCCTAGAAGATCCCTTTCAGACGCAGTGCACATCCTGTGGCAGAGCCAAAAAGTTTGCAGAGAGGCCAAGAAGAAAGAACTGAGAATAAGGAAAGTCCAAATTTGATAAGCTACCCTCACTGCTCCACTTGCTTTTTAATACACAAACATTTAAACCTCTCTTCTCTTCGCCACCTTCATACGTAATTTTTTAATGTGTGCTTTTTGTATTATCTTACGTAATTTTATATATTGACTAAATTTTTTTGATGTATTAGTATTCGAACCCAGCGTTACACAAACTAGTGTAGTATGTTTTATGTAACATATATAGTAGGAAATAAGCCACTTAAAAGTAATATAGTCATAGTTAATGGTTGGGTTAGATATGTTTAGAGGGGAAAAACTGTCAAAATCAATTAAACGGGATAACGTTGATTCTAATGGCAAGACATAGAGAATAACATGTTCCACATTAAAATCTGTCTTATTTGGTACTCGGTGTCTTGAATTTAAGTTTGAGCTTCCTCTATATCTTGATTTATGAGAAGTGTGAATTCGATTGAACCACAACTTTGAATTTCTTTGATGAGGACTATGGTTTACTATACGTTTAGATTTACGTCCAAAGAAAATGGATGCACGTCAAGCTGAAGCAACTAAGTGTTGCTTTTAAGTTAATCAATCTCTTTTTGACGTGAGTTTGCTGCAATACGTGAACACTATTCCAACATTGCTGAGTCTATTTGAGCCATTTGAAGCAAATGGGTGTTGCTTGGGCTAAAAGTACAAAGATGACGTTTCAGTTTGCTATAAAATATGATACCAGATCTTAATAAACTGTAAGGAGTAGATTAACAAGTTTCCCTCTTCTGCTCGATGTTTCAGTCTAACTTTCTTTCTGCCTTTTGTAGTGGTAAACTAGTGGTTAATAACATTCCTATGCTAAAGGACCATCTTTTGGAGTTTCTGGTATAACTGAAAAGCTTTTTATCTTCATTCCGTTGTTAGATACATAGCAACAATGTTATAATTAAATAGTTTTTCTTTTTTTTCCTTTGAAAATTGAAAGGATGAAGGCTATCTTTACAATGATGTTCCAAATAAAAACCAACTTTCTATTTTGTACAAGATGAGAATGTAATAGATAGCTGCCAAATAATTGACATGCGGTTACAACTTACAACAACAGTGTACATGAATAAAATAATGCCTACTGTAAACCTACTCAGGCTTTTACCGCAAGCTCTGGTAAAATACCAAGCTTTTCTTATGGAAGGCTTTCACCATTATTGATGCAGGTAACAATAACATTAGAGAGTCTACATGATGATATCTAGCCTTCTTTGATGTTTAAATCATTGCTTTTAGGTCCCATCGTTCCTTTACTATCATTGTATGCAGACAGACAGGAGCAAATTGACAGTAACCACATTTCCAGCGTTCATCTTCAGGAGGGTAAGTTGCTTCTTGTTCTCCAAGCCAAAACTCAAGACAGGAGTGAATTTGATTCGTTAGCCAGTCATGATCATATGTGAATTTATTTCACCAAGCATGAATGATCTTTCTGATACTCATATCTGACATGGAGCACCCACAACCATAGAATAAGGTCTCATGTACTGCAAACAAACTGCTAGTCATTCTGACGGGCAAATTTATTAACATTATGACCTATCACTATTTCTTGCCTTTCAAAAATTGGGTCAAACTTTCAAGCTTTTTACTCAAAATAAGCAATCATTACTGCCTTTACTCAAAATGTGTGTGCATGCATGTGATTAGGTGAGTCAGTAAGTAGTACACTTCTTCAGAAATTTAAATTGAATAGGGGTGAATATTATAAACATTCCACTCAAAAATCATATTTATTGAAAGCTATCACGAGTTGGCTCAGAGATGCATACCTCAACAAGAGCCGATCATGAGCAGGGGCCGGCATCCTACATGTATTTCTGTAATATCTTACCACATCATCTAGAGTCTGCATTTTCCAATAACGAAATAAGGAAAGAAGATTATGTAAAAGCCATGCTGCAACTGCCAATTAGCTGAAACTTTTATAGCAGAAATCATAATGTAAAAAATCACCTACCGATTGTGGATAAAACAAAATACTAAATGTAAAACTTCTATAGCAGAATATTTTCATAGTGTAAAAAAATCACTTTTTGATTGCGGATGAAAACTGCAAACTCAATGGAAATTTTTTTTATAATATAATCAATCTTACTTAAAGAGAACACTGCCTCCCCCTCCCAAACACATTCTAATCAAGCACTTACCGAAGCAGAAAATTCAGAGTCAGCACTTGTCACTTTTAGATCTTCACATAGATTATGTTGAGGGTTTAAGCCAAAATAAGTGAAAAAAATATTAGAAGGAAAATTATCAGCAACTAAATTGTCCCACAAATACTTGTAGCACATCAATTGAAGCCTGCCAAAATTAAGAACATCCTAAGTATTCAATCCAATTATTTTAAAACAACAATTAACGGAAAACCATGTTTTTCTATTGGTTCTTATAAAAACAAATATCTTTTCAAAAATTTATATTTTTATCAATTTTTCCATAACAAATTTTCATGAAAAATAGCACTATAACTTTCTTGATATAATTCTTATCAAACAAAAAAAAGGCCGAACTCTTATTAATTAATATTTTAATAGAGATTTTGGTAATTTTTTTTTATTTTTATAGTTATATTTTACTATTAATCTTATATTATATGTTAAAATATTTTTCAAATAAAAAGTAGAAATTTAAATATAATATTAATATGATTGCTTACTCTCAAATATCAACGCATATATATGAGGCCAGCTACTGATCAAAAAATGGGCTCAAAGTAATGTTAAAGCATCAAAATAAATAAAATAACCAGTGTAATGATTAAATAATTAGTATAATATAATAAATACAAAGCAAGAAATAAATAAAAACCCTTATCATACATTTAAAGGTGAGAATTAAATTTAAAAATAAAATATAACTTACTTTTGACCGGATGTAAAAAATAAAATAAACACTGTACTTGAAATAACCTTATGTTTATACAAACTTGAAATAACTTTTTGTAAGTGGTGGAAATTATTAAAATAAATTCAGTGGCACATTTTGAAAATTAATAGATAACTACAGAGGTAGAAAAGGTTTGTGATGTAATGTCAATGTGTAAAATGTGGGAACTTGTAAAAGAGACTCTTTTTTTTCTTTCTTATAATGCATCTTAAATGAAGAGAAAAGTGTAGCATGTTATCATTATTCAAATTTAAAAGATTGTGGTTTTCAAAAACTTAAAAATAGTAGCAATAACGCATGGTCTGGTTAGTCAAAATTGTGATTAAGACATTGGTTGGCTTTCAGTGTGTAGTGAGGCATGTAAGAAAAAAAAGAAAGTAACCGTTTTGATTTTACTTTTCTTGGTGACCATGACTAAGTTGCTAGCTAGGTGACACAGCATAGCATAGTGCAGATTTTCTCCCTTCAGCGGTGATCCACATTAAATTCATTTTTATGTTGAAAGCAGAGAAGAGAGACTATGAATCCATTCTTTCTCTTTGGGGAAAAAAATTAAGTGGTGGAGCTCTGAACTTGCATCGCATTAATTAATTAATTTGAATACTGTTGGGAGTGATATGTTACAGAAAATGCAGTGGGATGCAATTTCACATCCAAAGAGAATGAAATAAAATGGTAGAAGAATAATCAAACCTTCCATTTCTTTGTTGCGGTTTGTTTTAATGGCATCCGAATCTCATCAATGACTCCCACCATCCATATATCTTCTGCAAAGCCTATTCTGATATAAGAAGAATAGTCTATCATCATCACAACTGCTTTAAATCCCACCAGTGATAATTATTTTGTTAATTATCACTGTTTTCCCTTATTATTTGTTTCTTATATTTTAAATTATTCTTAAATATAAATGTATAAATATTGTTGTACAAAAAAAAGGAAAAGAAAAAAGAAAAAGAAAAATGTAATAATCAAATAACCCTTTTAGTTAACTAAGCCTTTTACACAGAGGCCTTCCTGTAACATTACACAGTAAGGCTTAAAATATACAATGGCAGTGCCTACGACAAAACGTCTTTGTCAGCTTCTCGGTTTACACCAGAGGGAGGCTAAATAGAGTAAACAGGAGCCAGTCGACATATTGTTGTCAATCATCAAGATAACAGATATCACAAGTCATTCATATTTCATTGACAGCTAAGTGAACATCATGGGATAGAAAAATTCCAGTGCGTTGCAGCACATGATTGTTGGAGGGAGACATGATTCTTGGATATACTATATGCAACCTAGGGCAAAGACCTTCCCATAATCAATAGAGTAAATCTCAAAACTTGACAATTCAAAATGAAGTGTGACCAATAGGTGAATTGAAGATATGAGATTACAGTTTTATCTTAAGACGCAAGCAAGAAAAAAAACATTTTATGTATCTTAAAACAAATCAGAACTTGAAAGAGTGAGGCGCTGAAAATTTCTGAAGCTCTGGTGGTGGCTGATTCATAGATAGGTGTTCTTTCACTTTTACTGCAGCTTCTATGCATTTTAATCATATTACATCCAAAAATACACATAATACAGATAAAAAAAGGTCATAAATCCTATTGACGGTTGTTGTAGCAGATAGTGCATCCACTACACACTTAAACATCTCAAATAAATAAAAAAATAGTGTAATAAATTTCAAGCATGCAAGTAAAATATCTTAAAATTGACCTTCCATGTCTCGTAGTGTGAAGTTTATATAAATCAATTCCTTCCTCCAAAATGGACTGCACTCGGTTAGGAAGGGGATTCCTGCGCATTGGGAAAAATACAAAATGAAATGTTATTAAGAGAATATATGAATTCAATCTGCTTCACTGACACGAAAGAGACTACGTTTGGCGCGATTCATCGCAACCTTGCTTCGAGGCATGAATTTCTCCAACGTTTCCTTATCTTTTTTATTCAAACCATTCTCTCCCACCGTCTTTAGAATTTTTCTTCATCATTTCTTGCACACTGGTAAATATCTGCCTTTGATAATATCTGCAAGCCATGTATGAGTTCTTTTGCATACACACTGGTAAGACAGAATCATTAGAAAAAAAATGCAGAAAGCACTTACCAAGTGATGCAAGTTGGAATCATTATCCACTGCCTTTCTTTTCTGTTAGTAGCTCAAGTAGAACAATACCAAAGCTATACACGTCAGATTTTTCATTCAACGTAGAACTTCTAGCATACTCAGGGTCAATATATCCTATTGTCCCAACCACAGATGTTGATGCATGTGTTCTTGTAGTTGACAAACATTTGACAATGCCAAAATCAGAGAGACGAGCTTCAAAGTTCTCGTCTATCAGGATATTTGAGGACTTAATATCCCTGTGAATAATTCTAGGATTGCAGTCATGATGGAGGTAAGCAAGTCCTTCAGAAGCTCCCACAACAATCCTCAAGCGTGATTACCAATCAAGTTTTACCATTTACAAGGGACATGTTAGAAAAGAAAGTTAGGCCATAAGAACAATTTTAAGCCACATTCATACAGATTTACCTTAAAAATAAGATTCAATTGTAAGTAAATATACCATGTAGAAGATCCCACAGAGAGCCATTCTCCATATAGTCATAGAAGAGAAGATTTCCATTATGAGTTAGAGCATAACCATGCAAAGTGACAAGATTCCTGTGTCTGATTCCTTTCAATAGTTTCAGGTTCTGTCTCAAACTCCCTTGAGTTGTGTTGATGCTGGTTGTATAGTAGTTCAATTGCAATTGGCCGGGAATTCTTCAAAACACACTTGTACACGGTACCTGAGGCACCATATCCTACAATATATTTCTCACTGAGATTCTCAGTAACTCTCATGATATCATCAAAGGTGTGGATGGCCAAGCCCATATGAAGAATTACAAGTATGGATGGCCCTGAAGAGAAGGAAGAGAAAGAGAAAAACAAATGAGAATTTCGCTCACATAACAATACTAAACAGTATCATCTTGAACATACCTTGTTCAGTTCCCCTGGATCCTTTAATCAATTCCATGGATTGGGTTGATCTGTAGAGAGCAACAGTTACCATCGCCAATAATATGATGGTACCAACTATGAGACAAAGAACTGCAGCCCGCCCTTGAGAAAACCACTGAACAAAGAAGTACACAATAAGGTCCATTATTAACATTGTAGTCAGATAAATTTTACCCCTCACAAACCAATCCTATGTATAAATATAGTCATCATACATATAATTGTAACTATCAAGTCATCTCAGAATGTCACACACCTCTGGATTTTGGTACGTAAGGATCACATATGGATCCTAAACAATTTCCGCATAACAATGGATTTCCAATAAAGCTGCAACATATCACATTACAAGTCGTTGATAAATGAATTAAGAAACCAAGAAAATCCTACAGTTTCCCTCAATAGCTGTCAGCTGAAAACCGAGAGAAGTTCTTCATTAGAGGAATGACCCCGGATAAGTTATTATATGAGAGATTCCTAAGAAATGAAATAAACATTTAGACCAACCACTCAGACACAAATCTGAAGAAAATAATCAGAAAGGAGACATTGGCTAGCTGCTAGGAATACACACAGGAAGTTAAGACTTAAGCAATTTGTAACCTGGTCTGGAATCTTCCCGCAAATCATTGTTGTTTAAAATCTTATTAGAATTATAGTGAAACGAATAGTACGTTATTTAGAATATGAGTAGTTTCAAAAAAATCAACTAGGAAATACATCATTGCTTAACATACA